ACCTCATTCGCAAACTCCCCCCCACTCCCTACTCCCCCCACTCCCCCCTACGCCCACAGTCGCTTAACAGTAAGAAGAGAGAAAAGGCTTAACAGCGTTTTAAATCGAGAGAGAGAGAGAGAAAAAAAAACTGCCTTTTAAAATGGGGCAGAAATTTGGAAGAATCCTTGAGTGAAAGTGATCTGAAGTGACTCAGGAAGCAGCACATTTGTAAGAGAAAAAAACAAACCAACCTCCCTGAAATTAAAACTTGTTTGCAAAATTGCAACCCCTCCCTCCACCCCCCCAAAAAAAATAAAGTGGTAAAAAAGGAACCTGCATTGCATTGCATAAATCTGGAAGCAAAAACCTCAAAATACTAATATGTCAAACATATATCAGTTGTTTCCCTCCTCCCCCCAACTAAAAGTTATTTGCAAATTGCAACCCCTCCCTCCCCCCCCCCCCAAAAAAAATAAAGTGATAAAAAAGGAACCTGCATTGCATCAACTTAAATATGTTAGCAAAAACCTCAAAATACTAATATGTCAAACATGTATTAGTTGTTTCCCTCCTCCCCCCCCAACTAAAAGTTGTTTGCAAATTGCAACCCCTCCCTCCCCCCCCCCAAAAAAAAATAAAGTGGTAAAAAAGGAACCTGCATTGCATCAACTTAAATATATTAGCAAAAACCTCAAAATACTAATATGTCAAATATATATTAGTTGTTTCCCTTCTCCCCCCCAACTAAAAGTTGTTTGCAAATTGCAACCCCTCCCCCCCCCCCCAAAAAAAAATAAAGTGGTAAAAAAGGAACCTGCATTGCATCAACTTAAATCTGGAAGCAAAAACCTCAAAATACTAATATGTCAAATATATATTAGTTGTTTCCCTCCTCCCCCCCAACTAAAAGTTGTTTGCAAATTACAACCCCTCCCTCCCCCCCAAAAAAAAAAATAAAGTGGTAAAAAAGGAACCTGCATTGCATCAACTTAAATATGTGAGCAAAAACCTCAAAATACTAATATGTCAAATATATATTAGTTGTTTCCCTCCTCCCCCCCAACTAAAAGTTATTTGCAAATTGCAACCCCTCCCTCCCCCCCCCTCCAAAAAAAATAAAGTGGTAAAAAAGGAACCTGCATTGCATCAACTTAAATATGTGAGCAAAAACCTCAAAATACTAATATGTCAAACATGTATTAGTTGTTTCCCTCCTCCCCCCCAACTAAAAGTTATTTGCAAATTGCACCCCATCCCCTAAAGTGGTAAGAAAAAAAAAGAGGGGGGGGGCTGCATAGTGTATACACCAAGAGGTAAATGTTTTTTCCCCCCCAGGAGTGAGTGTGGGTGACAAACACCACATGAATGACTAAGTGGATGGCAATTGCTTGTGTGATTTTTTGGGATGTGCTGTTGGAGTAACTAGGAAACGCCACACACTATCCCAACTCCCCACACACACTTAATGTCCTGCCTTTTTAGAAAGTGCATTAAGGCGTGAGAGAGAGAGAGAGAGAGAGGGGGGGAGAGAGGGGGGGGGGGAGGAGAGGAGGGAGGGAGAGAGGGGAACTAATCTTTTGTATTTAAATGTTTGCCACAATTTTTTTTATCTAAATGAATTTTAATGAAGGAATCTCTCCCCCCCCCCCTCCCACCCAATTGAGTATTCGTGTTGGGTATTTCTGGTAGTCTGTTTATGTATATATATCTATATCTATATATGTGTGTGTGTGAGATCAAAACTTTTTAAAAACTTTTTTTAAAAAGGCAAACTTTTTCTTGGATGTGTCTTTTAAAATAAGGGAGTCTTCGACTTCAGAAATGCTCTGAGCTGCGTTTAAAGAGAATATGTGTTTTAAAAAAATATATAGAAATAACTCTAAAGTGCTCAAAAAGCCAAGCCAGTAAAGTAAGAATCTAGGGGTGGGGGGGACACTGAAATAAGTGTCTGTTTTTATCAGTTTTTTTTATTAAGTGTCACTTGCTGGATACGATTTTGGTTTGTTTTGAGGCTGGAGGAGAGGTAAATGAATGAAAATCGTTTGCATTCCCACCCTCTACACACACACTCACTCATTCACTCACTCACTCATTCAGTGACCTTTGATTTAACACGGTAAACACATTAAACAGTCAAGATATAAGGCAAGGGGAATAGAGTTTCTGCATCTCAGTGGTTTTTTTTGCAATGATTTGCAATGTGGGCAAAATTATTTCTTGTGTTGTTTTTGCACTCACCCCCCCCCCCCCCCCACACCAAAAAAAGATTGCAAGATAAAGAATTATCTCTTATTAGGAGCCAGAAGTGCTTACCATTCAGAGCCACACCATGCAATGCACACAAACAGTTGCAGAGACTTTTCCCCCAACCCATCACCCCACCCTCACCACTTCTCCCCCCCCCCACCCCAAAACCCTTCCCCACCCTCTCCAAACCCTGCGATCTAACACCCAAGCACTGCACACCCCGTTTCTTAACAGAACACATTCACAGAAACACACACAGACATCACACATCTCTCACAGTCGTTGCAAAAGCGTCTGTCTGATCCCATAAATTCAGGGGAAAACTTCTTTTTAGCAGTTCTGAGCAAAGGATGCGGTGGGGGGGGGGGGGGGGGGGGGAGCTAGGGGGTGAATAATGATGATTTAAAGAAAATGATTCTTGCATTGATATAGCGCCTTATCACATGATTGAGATGCCTCAGTGCGCTTCACAGAATATACTGTAAAGTGAATTGACCGTACATTTTGCGGGCGAAATACAACAGCCAATTGCGCACAACAGTGACCCACAAATAGTCGTGGATTAAGTGACTAAATTATTAAATGAATTCCTTTTTTGGAAAGCGATCAACAATCGACCAACAACCGGGTTCCTACTTACTGCAGGTAAACAGAGGCGTGTGGAGTAAGGAAACTTGCCTAAGGTTTCGCCCTGTCCGGGAGTTGAACCAATACGCTGCAGGATTCCACTAATAATCCTTGCATTTGATATAGCACCTTATCACGTCGTAGAGACGTCTCAACCCCACCCCCCCCCCCCAAAAAAAAAGGCCCTCAAAGAAAGAGAGAAAACGAAACGCATTTTTCGCAACGAGTGAAATCAGCATGACAAAAATAAGTTTTTTTATTTTTATAATTCAGATCTCATTACCGCACACAGTTATAAGGGGGTGGGGGGGGGGGGTTGGATGGGGGAGGGAGGGGTGTTCGGGGAAGGGGAGTGGGGAGGAGAGGGGAAAGGGTGGAAGGCATTAACCTAATACAATCCAACTCTCGTTATTTTTTTACAATCCAAACCGCTTTTTTTTTATCAGAACTCTCTAAATCTCTGTGTGCGATTAATAATGATTAGCTCCGTGTGTTTTTTTTTAAATTTTTTTAGATAGAAAAAAAATCGCTATCCACAAGCATCTGTTTTTATAATCACAAGAAAAGGCGTTATTAAACTCATCGCATTTTAGTAAATGGTATGCATGCCAACTCATTATCGACCCCGCTACTTTTACAAAAAAAATTGCAATAATACATTTCATTATTTCCAGTCCTTTTTTTTTGTTGCGACAAAAAAAAACTTATTTATTTACAACGTGTACATAAAACGCTCCATGATCGGATCACAGGGTGGTTTTCTGCGGGGGATGGGGGGGAGAAAGAGAGAGAGAGAGAGAGATATATGTGGGGGTGGGGTGGGGGAGATAACACACACGCACACACGCGCACATACACGCAAACGCACATGTTGGTGGGGAAGTCATATTAAAGAAAATATGAATGGTGTAAACATGGGCATAAAAGAGGAAAAAAAAGTCTTAGATGTTGAAATGCATCAGAGAAATGTGATAATAATAATCCTTGCATTTGAGACGTCTCAAAAGTGCTTCACAGCATAAATTGTAAAGGGAATTGACTGTGTATTTGTGGGCGAAACGCGGCAGCAAATTGTGGACAGCAGTGTCCCACAAACAGTCGTGGATTACTTATTTCTTTGTTTTGGAGGAATTATTACCTCAATAATTGTTATTATTATTGATGAGTGATCAGTGTTGTGCAAGGGGAAATGTTCTGCTTTGATGTGATGTGACATTTTTTTTCTAGGTCTAAAAAAAAGTCTCCTTGAGTATTTGGGTATTTCTGAATCTAAAACTTCCCTGCGACTGGTCGGGTTTCCTTAAAAACACTGGGCCCCGCAAACTAATCTTTGTTGATGGCTGCGCTGGCTGCATTCTTTCTCATCCTTGCTGATTTACATCTGTTCAGGCCAATTCAAAATATGGTGAGTAAATGAATTAGACATGTAAATTCGAGCCCTAGGCTAGGAGAGCAGGCGATGACTGACTTGAGATTGTGAGCATACTATAGTCTTCTGCCTGACTAGCTAATATTCTCTTTTTATATTTTTATATATATATAAAAATCCTGATAAGTTTTCAGTCATTTGTAGATTAGATTTTAATAATATTCCTTGCATTTGATATAGCGCCTTATCACGTTGTTGAGAAGTCTCAAAGCACTTCACAGAATATACTGTAAAGTGAATTGACTGCATATTTTGTGGATAAAACGTGGCAGCCAATTGTGCACATCAGTGTCCCACAAGCAGTTGTGGATTAAGTGACCAATTTTTTTTGAGGGATTATTACCCCCGGAAAGCAATCCGCCAATCGACTAACAACCAGATTCCTACTTACTGCTAGGTAAACAGAGGCGTGTGGAGCAAGGAAACTTCCCTAAGCTTTCGCCCTGCCAGGGAATCGATCTTGGGTCCTCTCGGTTGCAAGGCGAGTGCTCTAACCACTACGCTACAGGACTCCACATTTTGTACTTTGTAAGAGACATAAAAAGGAGACTTTTTGTTAGGAGCATGAAAGGACTATGGAGACAGCATACATAGTGTGGACATATGTTCACATTAGTTTTGTCTTTTAAACCTATAAGAAACAAGATATTTTTCAGGGCGAACGAAGTACCATGTTATAATTGGAGCAGTTCTTTATCTCTCTCTCTCTCTCTTATATGTCTGTTCTACGTGATTCTTCAATAGCATTTTAATGTGGTTTCCTGTCCCCCACCCACCCACACACCCGCCCACCTGCACACACACACACACACACACTCCCAAAGAGCTGGTGGGTTCTTGAAAACGTAGCTTTTCTCATTTTCAGATCCCAGCCACAAGTTTCCGAAATTGGTCCACGGTTGATTTTGAAGGTTAGAGAGCTTTTGCCGCCGTTTCCCCCGATCAGTGTCCGAGACATACATCACCCACTGTGGATAATCAGTTGTTTTCGTTTTGTTCATTGGGTTGTTGTCTCATTTCGGTTTTCTCCCCACTAACACCCCTCTCCCCTCCCAGCAACCCCCCCACCCCCCCTTCCCCACCGCAGCCGCTCAATCAACTACTGAGCGTGGATGTCCATAACTTGTCCTCCCATCGTGGGGTCTCCTGGGTTAAGCATTGTGGGGCTAGATGCTGACATCGGCATTCCAGGGTGGGATGGTGGTCCTCCATGCATCATCATCGCTGGGTGGTGGGGGTGTCCAGGAATGTAGGAATGCATGGGAGGTCCGTGCCTTAGCTGGGCAGGGTGTGGCGGCATCTGGGGAGGGGTGTAGTTTGGCTGTCCCATGCTCATACCCATCGGACCACCCTGCGATACGTAGTCTCCTGGCATCCCCTGCAGTCCTGTGTGAGGGAGGGAGGGAGGGAGAGAAAACGACACACACGTGAAATTCTTTAGTAAGTGCAATCTGATTCTCTTTTAGCACAACAACAACAAAATTTGGAGTCCCGTAGCCTAGTGGTTAGCGCACTCGCCTCGCAAGCGAGAGGATCCGGGTTCGATTCCCAGGCAGGGCGAAACCATAGGCAAGTTTCCTTACTCCCATACACATCTGTTTACCTAGCAGTAAGTAGGAACTCAATTGTTTGTCGATTGGCGGATCGCTTTCCGAGCGTAATAATCCCTCNAAAAAAGAATAATTTTGGTCACTCAATCCACGAATGTGGGACACTCTGGGAATCCATGTTTGTGGACACTGCTGTGAGCAATTGGCTGCTGCGTTTCGCCCACAAAATACGCAGTCAATCCACTTTACAACACATTTGTAAAGTGCTTTGAAATGTCTCAATGACGTAATGAGGCGCTATACCAAACGCAAGTTTTATTTATCATTAAAATTACATTTATATAGTGCATTTCACAACGGAAGAAGGTCCACAGGTGCCGATGAAATGTTGCCCGCAATCTGATTTAAATTTGCACCTTCAACAGAGGCCAGGCTCGTGAGGAAAACACAGGACTGAGCGCATAAGAAAAAAATGCTCATCCAAAACTTCCGGATGTTTATCGTATCACCACGTGGTGCGACCTTGCAAAGATTAATCCATTCGGTAGAATAAATTGAAGTTCACACACATTACGGTGTTAAATAATAATAATAATAATAATAATAATAATCCTTGCATTTGATATAGCGCTTTTCACGTCGGGAGGATGTCCCAAAGCGCTTCACAGAACACACTGTAAAGTGAATTGACTGTATATTTGTGGGCGAACGAGGCAGCCAATTGCGCACAGCAATGTCCCACAAACAGTCGTAGATTGAAAATGACCAATTTATTATTATTTTTTGTTTTGGAGGGATTATTATTAGGCGTGTGGAGTAAGGAAACTTGCCCAAGGTTTCGCCCTCTGCCTGGAAGTGAACTCAGGTCTCTCGCTTGCAAAGCGAGTGCTCTAACCACTGAGCCACAGGACTCCACGAATGGCCATTTTTCTCACACTCCCTCTCTACCCCACACACCACCCCCGCAAAAAAATGGCCATAATGGCCATAATCATAATAATCTTTGCATTCGATGTAGCTCTGCTCATGTCAGGAGGATGTGTCAAAGTGCTTCACGGGACTCGCTTTAAGTGCAGAGACTGTATTTTTCTGGGCTAACACAGCAGCCAATTTGCCATGACAACGTCCCGCCCGCAAAACAGCCATGAAGTGAGAGGCCAATTTTGTTCCTCTCTCTCTCTCTGGGGGATTGTTGGCCAGGACACTGGGATAAGAAACTCCTTTCCCTTTTCGAACAGCGCAGCAGATTTTTTAACGTCCGCCTGAACAGTGCAGAGGACCTCGGTCTTAACATCTCAGCCGAAGGACGGCACCTCCACAAATGCAACTGAAGCCTCCTCCCCACCATTCACCCCAGCACTGCACTGGAACATTAGCCCCAGACTGTGAGGGTCCATGGTTATTCCAGGCTTGAAAAGAAGCACGACGTGATTTCAATTGTACCCTCGCACACAAGAAAATCTTCTGAGGAAGTGTTGGGGGGGAGAGGGGAGGCGCGACAAGAAACAGAAAACATCCTAGTAGTTGTTTTTTTTTGGGGGGGTGGTGTGTGGGGTAGAGAGGGAGTGTGAGAAAGAGAGAGAGAGAGAGAGAGGTCAGAGCAACTGAAAGGAATCTTTAACTTTAATCAGCAATCATTTTTATTGCTGAAAAAAATCTTTGGGCCACAAAAAGGGAGATTTGTGGCCTTGAAGAAAGGTTAACAAACCTTTGCTTTTTAATTGGAGCGTGTGTGTTTTTTTTAAACAAAGGTTCTTCCGAGGGTGGTTGAGCGCGTGTATGCGTGCGTGCATGTGTGTGTGGAGGGGCGGGCGGCGGGGGGGGGGTTGGGGGGGGGGGGGGGAGAGAGGTGGGGATCACTAAAGGTGCTCGCTAAAAACCGTACCTGCAAGCTCATCTGGGCGAATGGAAGGGGAAATCAATGGCGTTCATTAATTAAATCTTTCTCTGTGATCGTCAACGTTTTGGAGGGGAAAAAAGGCAGGATTTTGAATCCCGGCCACCCTTGGCTGAGCTTGGATGGAAACTCAAAGAGAAAATTGGGCCTAAAACAAAGGACCTCCTGCTTTTTTTAGTGGGGCTCCGTCTTCTGCTTGGGTTGCCACGGTTGATGGGAAGTGGCAGGTGTATTGTTTCTAAGAGCTATAAGCTCCATAATCGTCAGGGGTGGAAAGCAAAGCGTTCTTCCTAAGTAGGTTCAATTGGCTTTAGTTCTGAGTAATGTTGCTCTGTGACTGACACAAACACCTTGTTTCAGGTCTCAGAGCTGAGCGGCAAACTGCTGTTTAATCTAGCCTAAAGGAACAATTTTCAACTAATGAAAATTGCTTATAAAATATACTGTACCCACAGCTCCGTAATCAAATAAGGCGATAATATTTTTGTAATAACCTATTAATTTAATTGGTCATGAAGCATATAATACATCATTTAAATTTAATTGACCTAGAAACTAAGAAACAATATTTAAATTAGCCAAGCTAGAAATTTCTGTGGTTAGGTAATAAGGCTGTTACAATTCTCTGCTCTGCTCAATGGGTTTTCTCTCTCTCTCTCTCTCTCTCTCGTATCTCTCTCTCTCAGCCTCACAACTAATTGTCAAACCAATCTTTGATTCCACACAGAGCACATGTCTTGAACCATGCTTTAGCCTTGCTACGTTTTGAAATGACATATTAGAGACAATACGAGGCAGAGAGAGTGCTTTCACTTCACACAACATCACAAAAGGAAACTCAATTACTGATAATCTTTAAAAGATCCGTTTTAAAGGTGAAGAAGGGATGGTGGGTCAGGGGGAATGGCGGGTGGAGGAGGTGATGGAGAAAGGGAGGTGATGGAGGGAGTGAAGTGAAAGAGACGGCCCCTATTTTTTTGGTTGATGTGGTCTTGTGTTTGCAGGGGGGGTGGATATGTGAGTGCTCTGTGAAAACTAGAGGGGCAGAGAGAGAGAGAAAGAAAGAGAAGAGGAGAGGCATCAAGAAAGAGAGAGAGAGTGAGGGAAAAGGTTAGTTTAATTAAAAAAAGAGAGTAGAATAACACTAATTTATCAAGGGCAAGGACAGGAGAATGGAACAGTCTTATAAGGGTTCACGTCACCGGGCTCCAACTATTCAGGATCGCATTAATGATCTCTATTTTCGTATCCTCCAAAAGTCAACTCCATCCGTCACACTGCAAGTGACGGTTTACTTAATTTGGACGTACGCAATTAGTCTGGGTTTTAAAACTCCATGACTCTGCCTGACTTTTTTCGCCGTTTCGCCTGGGCGATTACACCCACCCCCCCCTCCGCCCCCCTGCCCCCACCTTCTGTTTTAATGGCTGTTTTATTTTTTTAAGTATAAAAAAAATTCTCCCTCCGCCACTCCCCCCCCCCCGCCCCCCCCATCCCTCGCTCTCATTCCTCGCCACCCAACGAGCACGAGCAGAAACAAAAATGAATCGGTTAGAATGATTCAAAAAAACATGTCTTCACCACGGACAGGCAGAAGAGATATTGAGAAATTAATAAATAAATTGTGTCTCGATTCAAATTATACCCAATGCTGCTTCTGTTTCTTCAATCCTCCCCCCACCAGTGCATTCTTCTCCCCCCACCCCCCCTCCCGTCGCCCCATTCCACCCCGTAATCTGTCCTCGAAGCAATGCTGGATCATTCCCGGTATCTCGCAGGTTAGTGTATAAATGTAATTCATGCATCAACTGTGGTCAGACACATTTATGACACTTTAGGGACATACTCTTTCCTCTCTTGGCACTCCTGCAGACTGCTTACATTTTGCCAATCAGTCTGTTGCTATAGCGATGCACAATCTCCACCCCCCGCGCCCCCCACCCCTCACTCACTCACTCACTCACTCATGCCTCTGCCCATCCTCCCTCCCAATCCTCCTCTCTCCATCCCTCATTCCCTCCAGCCTCACTCACTCCCCCACCGGGCTGTTTCTTGTTTTCTCTTTTGTCATGTTGCCAGCCCCTCACACCGCTGTGTTTCAACGCAGTTCCAGATAACAGTGTCAGGCAAAGCATTTCCTTGTAGATTGTTTAATAGTTCCCACCACCACCCTTCAAATCACTGACGAAAGGTGCAAACATTCAGGAGTTGAGGGGGAGGAGGGAGTACTGTGGGCGTGCAAGGCGAAGGGAGAGGGAGGTGGTGGGAGGCACTGAGTGAGAGAGACAGAGCGAGAGAGAAAGAGACAGAGAGGGAGGGGGAGAAAGGAAAAAGAGAAGGGGAAAGAAAGACGAGAGAAACCCAAGTATATATATATATATTTCCTTTTTTTTGTTCTTTCACGAGTGAACAAAGCATGAAGCTATGGGCTGGAAGAAACAACAACCATAAAAAATTAAAGCAAAGAAAAATGGATGAAGGTTTTATATATTTATATATATTAAAAAATTGCTCTTGGAATAAGACTTGTGTTAAAAAAAACACAATGACCCCATTTTTTTTTGGTACTTACTTCCCCCTTTGCTCTGTGCTTGGTTAACTAGGTGAAGGTTACATGTAGTGCCATTGCCCTTCCATGCCTATATTCATGCCCATTCCACTCATAGGTCCTAGAAAGGAGATAAAAATCCAAGAAAGATGCCAGAAAATGAGCAGAGTCAAAACAAAGACAGCGTTCCTCCCAAAAAAAACAGAAAAAAGAAAAAAAAAACAGAAAAAAAAGACCCTTTGCTTAAAACATCAGGGTCAAAGAGGGGGTTATGGTTCCTCCACATTTTAGAGCAAAACCATCTTTCCTTCTCCTTCCCCTCGTTTCCCCCTCTCTTTTCATTATCAGGTACACAGAAGACAGGCAAGGCAAGGCAAGGCGAGAGATGAGGAGGGAAAGACAGTTCTGCTGACTTGAGCACACTCGGATGTTGTGTGTGGGTGAAGATGTGACGCTGGGTGATGGGGGAAAGGAATTGGAGTGAAAGGTGGTGGGGTGGAAGGGGAGGAGCAGAGGAGGAGGAGGAGGAGGAGGAGAGTGGGTGGGGGTAGGGGCTAGATGATGAACCGTAAATCTTACCAGGCGGTCGGATTCCCATATGCTGTTGACTATCCATCACAAAACCTCCCATCGGCTGACCATCGGGATTGTAGGGGGCACCTTGGCTCACTGAGGGATTAACAAGAAGCCTGGATGTAATTGTCTGTATGTCTCCAATGCTCAGACCTGCTTCAGTCTCTGGAACCCATTGCCGTGGAGATTCCATAACACAAAGCATATGACTGAGAGAGTTTGACAGACCCATTGCAGACTACCACGCACACTGTACTGCCCTATTCCTGTCTCCGTCGCTCTCCCTTCCAAGCACACGATATAGCAGTTAACAACTACCTTTGCATTGTTGAGACGTCTCAAAGCGCATTACACAATATACTGTAAAGGGAATTTACTGTACATTTCGTGGGAAAAACGCGGCAGTCAATTGCGCACATCAGTGTCCCACAAGCAGTTGTGGATTAAGTGACCAATTTTTTGGGGAGGGATTATTACCCACAGAAAGCAATCCGCCAATTGACTAACAAATGGGTTCCTACTTACTGCTAGGTAAACAGGCGTGTGGAGTAAGGAAACTTGCCTAAGATTTTGCCTTGTCTGATAATCGAAACCGGGTCCTCTCGCTTACGAGACGAATGCGCTAACCATTACGCTATGGGACTCCATGTAAGAGAGCGTTGCAATGAACGTTCACTGACAAACGTATCTGACAACCTTAACTAACAGTGGAGAGGTCTGGTCCGAGAAGCCAAATGGTTTGCGTTCAAGTTAACAGCAGATGTTCACATCCCTGTGGTAACTTTCCACTATAATCTGATCATGAAACATGCATGGAGTTTCGGAAAAAAATCTTGTTTGATGCAATTTATGTTCTCCCGCTAGAGCCAATTCCTTCAGTCTTGGTCTTGTTAATAGATAATATGGTATTCTGTTAACCTTATGAGAACAAAGCAAAGTGGAGGAGTGGGCGAGGAGCTGGGAACTTGAATAAAATCAGTCCCTTCAAATTAGATCATTTGTTCTGACTTTTATGACTGTATAACTAGAGAGAGTGTTACAGTGTTTGGATTACATGGGCTTCACTGAAGGTTGTGGGGATCTTTTCTCCCCAGTTGGGAAATTCAGCCCTGTGAGCTTCCAATGGAAGCTCCCATTCCTTTTAAACAGTAATAATAATATAATAATCCTTGTATTTGACATAGTGCCTTGTCATGTCATTGAGTCGCCTCAAAGAGCTTCACACAATATTTTGTAAAGTGGTTTGACTGTATTTTGTGGGCGAAACGTGGCAATGAATTGTGCACAGCAGTGTCCCATAGACTGTCGTGGACTGAGCGACCAACTTATTTATTTAATTTTGAAGGAATAATTACCCCCGGAAAGCGATCCGCTGATCGACTAACAATCGGATTCCTACTTGATGCTAGGTAAACAGGGGCATGTGGAGTAAGGAAACTTGCCCAAGGTTTTGCCCTGTTGGGAATCAAACCTGGGTCCTCTCGGTAGCGAGGCGAGTGTTCTAACCTCTACGCTACAGGACTTCACGACTAATAATAATAAGACTAAGAAGATGAATAATCCTTGCAATTTGATCGAGTACCCAACCACGTCATCGAGACGCCCACTGAGCTTCATGGGATGCACTGTTATAAAGCGTGGCCACTGTGTATTTTTTCGGACGGCCGATTTGTGCTCAGCCACGACCCGCAAACAGCCATGAAGCAAGTGACCAAATTTATGTGAGCAATTGCTGGCTAACGCACTGGGAGAAACTCCCTTCTCTTTCCGAACGTTCTGTCCAGGCGGTATATCTAACATCCGCCTGGAGAGAACAGACGGGACCTCAATTAAACCTCTCCATCCGAAGGACAGCGGCGCCTCCCACAATTCGGTGGAGAGGCAATAACCACCCCGCAGCACTGCATTGGAGTGTCAGAATAGACTATGTGAGCTCCAAGGTCCCGATGTGGGGGCGTGAACGCTCAACCTTCTGACTCAAGAGGTGAAAGTGCTACTGACTGACCGAGCCAGGCCGACTCACAAAACTGACAGTTCCTTTTTCCTGACCCATTGGGTCCTTTTGAGATCTGTTCTGTGTCTCAGCACAAGCGAGGCAGCTCTTCAGCAATCAGCAAGGCGTTTGAGAAATCGCAGGGAAGCTTGCTAACTGCTGTGCGCAATTGGCCGCTGCGTTTCGCCCACAAAATATACAGTCAATCTGTTCTATGCTATATCCTGTGAAGCGCTTTGAGACGTCTCAACAACGTTATCAGGCGCTATATCAAATGCAAGGATTATTATTATTATTAACTGCCCAAACGGTGTAATGTGCAGCACAACAGCCCTTAATAAGGGCAGGAACCAGCATTTGATACAACAGCAAATAGCACATTCCAACCCCCTGAAACTCCTGCAAGTGCTAAGTGCATGCCGTTCTTTACACCGGAGCTCGAAGCTATATTTTGCCCTACTTTGGACCCAGGTCAAAGTTGCACTATTGACCCTTTGGAACATGGAGGGGAAGCAAACTAGCCTGACTTCCTGCCCTTGACCATTATCCATTGACCCCCTCCCCCGCCCTGGAAAGTGCATGTTTGTGGACTTCGAGGACAGACTCTCGCTTGACTCCAACGCTAGACTGGCTCAGTTCATAGTGTCTCACTTCCAGTCAGAAGGTTTGTGGGTTTAAGACCCCATGTCTGCATTTTGAACTCACTGACCAGGCTGCTGCTCCAGTGCAGTGCTGGGGGAGGGCGAGGGCCTGGGTGGGAAGCGCTGAATTGTTGGAGGTGCCGTCCTTCGAATGAGATGTAAACCGAGGTCTCGGTCTCTGTCTATTCAGGTGGGCATTAAAGATCCCACGACACTTTTCACCCTGGCCAACAATCCCCCGGATTAAGATTGGTCATTCACTGCTGCATTTGCCTACAAAATACACTGTCACTATCCTCAACAGTAAATTCTTCGAAACAGTTTGAAGACGTGATAAGGCGCTATATCAAATGCAAGGATTATTACTAAAGATAAGAGTCAATTAATTACCCTGCCAACGTTCAATGCCTTGGCTAACATATGAGGATCATATATACTCCAGCGAGGGTGAATGAGCCAAGGAGTTTAGCAGAGAAGAGGGGAGCAGAATAGGGAGAAGAAGAAAAAAGAAGGCAAATTTGCATTTATCTCCATGACATGGAACACCAGTGATAGGAAATCGCATCCTAGGATAAACATTATAATAATAATAATCCTTGATTTGCTATAAAAATAATATATAATAATCCTTGCAATTGATATAGCGCCTTATCACATCTTCGAGACGTCTCAAAGCGCTTCACAGGATATACTGTGGGCGAAATATGGCAGCCAATTGCACACAGCAGTGTCCCACAAACAGATTTTTTGGGGTTTTGAAGGGATTATTACCCGGGAAAAGCGATCCGCCAATCGACTAACAACCAGGCTCCTACTTACTGCTAGGTAAACAGAGGCGTGTGGAGTAAGGACCGGGTGGCTGCACAGCTGCTGAAAATGGGTTACACATGTCTTTAAGATCTAAGTATTTAGCGATTAAATACCTTATTACCCTTATTACCCAGTGCAGACTGCTGGCTAATACCAAGCAAAGTCTGTCACCCTGGCTCATGTACTGCAGGTCTGCAAATCCCACAGACCAGACGAGACGTTTGCACTTCATTGCGCTTTCCCGTTCGTGGCGCTATCGCTCAGAGCCGCAGATACTTTCCGAAAATGTAAGCCATTTAACAGGAGGGCTCCTGTGCGGCAACAAAGCAAGCCATTCAGGTGGTGAAGTTTGCAGAGCGGACTGCATATCAAAGTAACGGGAATGTGGCAACGTCTGCAGTTTAAAATGGTTGTGCCCGTGCTCAAAAGCCAATGGAGATTTGCCAATTTCCCCCTTAAACCTCCACCCTCCCCAAATTTTAGCAAATTTTCCTTCCAGCCCAAATATTTTGACACGACTGCAACTTGTTTTTGCCCACAGGTGGCTGGGACTTAAGGCGAAAAAGGGGCATTTTCGCCTTAAAGGGGAGATGAGCTGCAGATAGATGGCTGCCTCTTCCCCGCCCCTCCCTCACCGCACAGGCTCCGTGCCAACCTAAAGACGGCCGCCCCCCAACCCAGTGACCTCTGCATCAAATAATAATAATCCTTGCATCTGATATAGTGCCACATCACGTTGTTGAGGAACCTCCAAGCGCTTCGCAGAACATACTATAAATTGAATTGACTGTGTATTTTGTGGGCGAAACGCAGCAGACAATTGCGGACGGCAGCGTCCCACAAACAGTCATGGATTGAGTGACCACATTTTCTTTTTAAAGCATCATTACCCCCGGAAAGCGATCCGGCAATCGAAAAACAACTGGTTTCCTACTTACTGCTTGGTAAACAGAGGCGTGTGGAAATCTTAAAAATGTGAAGGTAAATCTTCCTGCCTGTTTGTCAGAGTTGGAAGTGATTGGAGGAATGATAGCATTACTATTCCTCGCTGCCTCTGTCCTCTCCTGTTCCCGTGTCAATGTCTGGCTCCAGGCCACTGGCTGCTCATTAGAATAGAATTTAAATACAAATTTCTTGAAGCACAGGGCTCCCAATGGGACAATATCGATTTAGTGAATGGACGCAAGTCAGGCTCCACTGTGAGTTGACTTTATGCCAATTCATGTGTCACAAAGCGGGAAGCTTTTTGGCCTGAAACAGTGGCCACTAAAGTCACAAATTTCAGCCTTTTCCACTGAGAAACTGGCAGTGCTATGCAGACAAAAACGTGTTTTTTCCCCCTTCTCTCTTTCATTTTCACGTTCTGTCTTTTTTCCCACCCTTTTCAACAGGGTTGATTTCCCCAGTGTCAGATCACTGAGCTATGAGGAAATAATATTAACAGCAATTCTATTGATAAGACATCTTTCAAGTCGGGAGGAGGTCTCATAAGAACTTGCAAGGTTTTTAATACTAATAATAATCCGTAGATTTGATTTAGTGCCTTATCACATCAGACGTCTCAAAAGCACTTCACAGGACATACTGTAAAGTGAATTGAGTGCGTATATTTCGTGTACGAAATGCAGCAGCCAGATGCACACAGCAATTCC